TTGGTGTCAACAATGAACAGAAATATATACAGAATGAAACTGCTTTTGTAAGATTTAAAAACTAGATGTTTTCCTGATGGTATGCGAGGAAATATTATTGATATGAAATGACGTGAGACTGAATACTCAATTAGAGATGAGATGAATGTGTACGGTATGGTTACTGACTTAAAATAAATTATTTGTTAATGTAAGTGAATAATATTGTCTTACATGTTCATCTAAATTAATTTAATAGCTTCTTAAATATAAATATATGTAACACCTTTTATCAGCTTGTGCGTATTATTTCGGTCAAGGAAAACGTTGTATGCAACTAAATTAACAGTAAGCTTGTAGAGTTCCTCACTCTTATTCTACTAAAGTAAGTGTCGAGGAACCTAATGAACTGTTAAGCGACTCATCGCTTAGTTCAAATAACAGAAATCGTAAAGTCAAGAAGGGTTAACTACCCTTTATTTCACCCAAAATAAGATGAACAGTTGGCCCCTTATTCGGGCTTACAACAAAGCCTCCACTCGAACTTAAAATCAAAATAAGAAATGAGAACTAAGTTAGACCTAACTAAAAGATATTTAGGTGGAGCTAATAGAAATCTAACGTAGTTGGCGTTTAATTTAAACTAGCAGGCGAATATCAAAAGTCACGTAATATGCGACCGAGCGTAACAGCCACTAGAAAGGCTTAGCCCGAAGGTAAACATGAGCTACTCAGGATTCCTAGCTCTCTCGCTCTAAATAAGTTGAACCTTCCTTGAATACTACGTCTTACTCATTTGCCTTTAAAGCGATTCTTAAAACTTATTCTGCTAAGGAGTTGTAAGTTGAAACAAGGATCGATAGGAAAGCACAATTAAATTTACAAAAATCATTTATAAATTAAAATATACCTTGCAAGCTTAATATTAAACAGCAGAGAACAAGTGATCGGATTATTGTAATTCTGGAAAGTGGGAAGTGGATAATTGGAGTTCCTGTATAATAACTTTGAAATCAAACTATGTAACCTGAAATAAACTATTAAAACTAAGAATAAATTCCCCCGAAAAATCTATTTATATTATGAAAAAAGAAAGATGTGGAAAAATAGCTTGAATTTTTTATATTATGAACAACTACCAAGGGAAAAAATAGTTGGTAGAACTTGTATTTTATAAACTTTTTTGGTCGGATCGATCAGTTAACAGTACAACAGGCATAAAAATATTTAATCCTAATTATTACAGGGAACTCAGATCTTTGCCTATAAAACTCGCTCTTTCGTACAGAATTAATGTGATACTTCTTTTCCGTGCTAGAAAATTATAATCAGTAATTTTTTTAACGCATAGCCTTATCATATCGAGAGCTTCGAATAATTTAATTGTGAACGTCAAGAATACATTTATTAATTTTTTTGGAGAATACTAAAATATAATCAGCAAACTTGTAATTACATAATTATTTTTAATAGCCCAAAGTTATGGGAAATGAAGATCATTACAACTTTCCTGATCTAGAAAAGTTGTCTACTTAATTTCTCGTCACTTAACAGCTGGAAAATAAAGTATTATTTCATTATTAGAAATATCCAACCAAGTTGCAACTCTGATAATTTAGAATCGAAGTTTTGCAGCTCAAGATTTGTCTCATTATTCAGTTCTTTAAACAAATAATATTATTGATAATAATATCGACTAAAAATTCTGAGTTCAAATTTGCAGTGTATATCTTTCTTTAATCTTAGATAAGTAACGTGTTCCAGACTTGAGAATTTTAATTCTTAGAGTCTCTTTCAAAGGCAAATATTGCTTGTTGTTAGAAGATATTTTGAAACACGCGTAGGTGGATGCTTTACAAGCTTTTTTTATTTCCCTTGAAAATTGCTAAATTTTTGCCCTTAGAACTTATAAAGATCTTAATTTAATGTTCAATTACAATTTAACGAAAATAGTTTCGTTAAAAAAAACTTTTGAAAAAAGTCAGAAATACTTAAAAGCCGAAATTTATTAATGAACAAATCTATATATACATACGTGTTCGTCGGTTTCCTACGTAATATTTAGTAGTGCCTTTTCTTTTCTAATAACAGACTGAACCCTTTGTAACATCATATTACCGTATTACAAACGATCTTGGTATTTATTGTTGAAGAATATAATCTCTTATTGAGACTATAATGCTTTTTAAGATTTCAGTAACATCCAGGTGATTCTTTGTCTTAAACATTAACAAAGAAGAAATGCTCATCATCTCAAAAATCAGTGGCCTCATAAATATACTGCCTGTTAAATAATGGACAGAGACATAGGCTCTGGAGCTACTGTTCGCAGTAAACTGTTTTCCTTTTATAAAGCAGTCTGTGTTTAAACTATTAGATTTGATGCTAGATCTGAAGTAATATCTGTGACCTTGGATCTTTTTCTCTTGAATCTAGATATGTCTTTCAGATTCTTGCCAGCAAGAAACGGAATGTGAGACTCAAAACGAATTATGCTTGCCGACATCTTTTTAATATTCTTACCGACTTCGTAGCGCTACTTTGGGTGCCAGCGCACTGTAGTGTTTAGGGGAATAAAAGAGCAGTATTTTTTTGGACAAAGAAAGAAACACATGTCCACGAGACGCAAAGAAATTGTATGAACTTTCATTTTGCTGAAAGACTAAGTGATATGTAATTTAGCATAATTCATGCTTCAAGTTTGTGCGTAAAAGCTATGGAAAAAACTTGGCAATGTCTCCTGGACAATATATGTAATATCCCTGATTCTCCTTGTGCTACAGCTGTTGTATCATTCTAGCTTTTGACTAGACACGATTGCCTCGATGCTTCTGTTTTACATTAGACTCGGGAGTCCTCTAGGGTAGATATTTATTTATTAAATGTTAAATGCACATGATCTTGTATTTTTAATTTTCCAGTTTAGTTTTCTTTACTATTCGTCACGCGCTGCACTGCACTGTTCCCTTTGTGACTCTGACAACATATAGACAGGATTTAATAGTTTTAATTCTGTCACCCAGAAGTACTGGAAAGCAAGATGTCTGATGCCAAAAGTGTCCAAAGTTAAGCATTTGTAATTAAACAAATAATAATTATGAGTTTAATCGAATAGATATATCATGTCAGCCACTTCATTTATTTTGCATATGTCTTGCATCAGAAACATAAAGGAAATTTCTCATGATTTCAGTATAAGTGCGCATCATGATTTTGTTTGCTCCTATCCCAGTGATTGCTCTTAAACTGTCATTAACAAACAAGAACTACGGCATTATTAATTCCATCAGCTATAAGTAAGCTTTGAGTATGTACTTTCATTTGCTTCAATTAATCATTCAGTAAAACATTTTGAATTCTATTCTCATTGTATGCTTCTTAAAACTTTTAATACAACTTTTCAGTACAAAACCTCATGTATTGATATTACATTTCACAAAATTTGAATTTCATTTCGGTGAAATTTGGAATTATCCAAATTACCAATATAAGGAATTACAATTATCCGGATTACCTATTAATTCTAAGTAAGTAAAACTACACTTGTTTATAGCCGCCCAGTAGGTATAGTGGTTAGGGGAGCTTACAACGACATTAAAGAGCCTGGGTTCGAATCCTGGATGGTTGTAAATGTAAAACGTCTGTGCGGCATATCGGCACTCTAAATATGCGGCAAGCCGAATGTCCTCTCGATAGGTTGATGGTAGAGGAAGAGGGGGTGCGAGACCCTCTGACCTGCCCCCCTCGGAGTGCTCTCCTTCGAAATTGTGGCGGAAATGAGCAAAGTCGTCACCTGTATGCTGCTCAAGGCTCTTCACAACTATAGGCACAATCTTGCTGTATTTGCCCAGACGAATTTCATGGGCTTGTTGTGATGTCATTGTCAGGCAAGTAAGATAAGTCACAACACAACAATATTTGCTTATAATTCATTCACTTAATTATAATTCATTTTATAAAAAAGTTTTCCCCTCATTCCTGCCGGAAAACAGCTTGAACTCATAGACTGCACCACTTTTCCATCAAAGAGAGGGACTTAGGGGATGAACCGACCTCATCTTCGCAAGAAAAAGACATCGACGACACAAACATGGCCTTCTGCGGGAATTGGAGACTATATAAGGCTTGACTGTTTGTGTGCTATCGATATCAGTCCGATAGTCATCCTTCGCTAATCAGCATATCATGCGCGTCATATATTTTGTTAGCAAAAGTACTGAATTTATTTCGACTCACAAATTGGGATTTTAGATTACTGCTACATAAATTTAATAGTCTTAGACTGCGAATTAGGAATCGGTCACCTCTAATAATGCATTTTGTTTGCGAAATTTATGTTTTTTGATAAAAAAAAAAGTTTTGGAGGCAGTGCTGAAAAACGTTTTCTTAATTCTAGCTCCTAACTAAGTGTATTTTGTGTGTGTGTGTGATTAGGGCAAAGCCTCGAGGGCTATCTGCCTAAGTGGAGGGATGCCTTCGTGGAGGACTTTCTAAGGGAAATTGGCTCGTATACACGTTACACATGGGGAAAACCACGAAAGCACCCATGCAGCCAGCCCGTTCGCGGGATTCGAACCTCGGACCGAACTACCAGTGTTCAGCGACTTTACCGCTCGGCCGCAGGTGGGCCCTAAGTGTATTTTATTTTTACCCTTCCTATTTTTTCCATAACCTTTCATATCCTTATTTCTTGCAAACCTTCGGAAATATTTGTGTTAATGGCATTATTTTAATTCGCTACGGAATGTTTATTAAGCTACTTAAGTGTTAGATGTAGACAAATATTAACGCAGTTGAAAAGCATGAAAAAGCAATATTTCTTAAGAGCTATAATTAAAATAAAAGAGAAACACGTCAAAGTGAAACATAAAATTAGAAAAGTAACAGCCTTGTGTTTGGCGTAGATTTAGTCAAGAAATTATCGATTTCGAGGGCAACTAGGTACAGATTCCTCTTCATTAGGACCAAAGAGTTCTTGCAGATTTCTTTGCTGCTGATGAAGAGGGACCTGTACTCTATACCCTCTAATTAATTTTAGTTTAATCTCAAATGTCTTATAAGCATTAGGTTTTAAAACTTGACCTCAGAAACTTCCTTTGTCTTATTTCCAAAGATCCATGTAAAAGTTATTAGTTTCGAAACATAGACGCTGGAATTTAAAATCGCAAAAATAGATTTTAAGTTATTTGTTCTGCATAAAAAAATTCATTAAGCAAGGCATTGAAAATTATGAAGGAAATTACTCTCCATACTCGGCACAGTAATTTTGCATGTGGCTAATTTTTTGCATGGTGCTGGAACCGAAAACAATTATATCAGGAAATTCTTAATATAAAAAACAATAAGTAATCATTAATATAATCCTTACCACTTGAAGACACAATTTTAAATAAAAGACACATTCCTTGAAACACTGAAAAAAACTTACACGTTTCCAGGGCTACATTTGCTAAGTAGGAACTAACGCAAGAAGCAGTGCTTTCTCTTCTGTGCTAATGCGTACATTGAAATCGAAAAAACGTTATTTTCAAATTCTACAGTCTCGTCCAATAATTTTGGATTAGATAGCCTAATCGGAATAGATGCCATAGCACGAATCCCAGTTATTAAGGTTTTAATTCCGCTGTTTTGATTTCTAATACGTTCGTCATTAATTTAAATGCCTTTTGATTTATGTATAAACAACTTCCTTCAACACTTTAAGTGTACGGAAAACTGAAGAATGTTTAAGTAGGTAAAGCATTTTAATTAAAATCATGGTATCTTGGTACGTGTAGCTATCAAGGTGACCTAGATATTTCAACCTTTTATTTGGAAAGGAGCATCTCTGTCTGCCTCTCCCAGTGGCTTCGTAAATATACATTTAGTTCATTGATATGTATTATTCACGTTTTCATCCTACTATATGCTTATGAATCTGATAACAGATATTTTCAAAATTCCAAATTTCAAGCAGATGTGCATTCAAAAGTCGTGGATATCAGTGATTCATTTTAATGTCTATTTTGTACTGGACTTCAACTCAGTATCTCTCTTCCTCTGTAGACTAGTCTTTAAAATAATCGAAAATGCGCAATAGTGTAAAGCAAACACGATTGCTTCTTTTATGTAATTTGTGTGCATTCAGAAGAACCTTAGAAACAAGCAAATTAATTGAAGAATGAGAAACTGTGGTTCGTTAGCTGGCACTTATTTTTGTTTAAAATTAACAATGGCCCTTTTATTAGATACTAAAAGGAAGGAGATTTAGGATAAAACATGGACGTACTTTTTTTCTAATAAAATACTTCATCAATCATAATGACCAGCGGCAGAATTAACGCATTTCAAGTGGGCCTAAAAAATCGATAATTTTATAAAAGTATATATTAAACAAAGAAAAACGCTCTTATACATTACTTTAAACATATATTTTTAAAATTACATTTAACTAGATTTTTAACATATTTTATATCAATAATTAAAACTTTGAGGTTGTATGTAATATCGTAAACTGATACAGCCATTTTCAATGTGAAAAATAACTTTGGACAATGCAATTTGCATTAGCTTATTAAATTTGTTCGTATAGGGGTTGCTGCTACATGAAGAATAAAAGGCAAAGCAAGCAAGTTTTTTTTGTGGTAATTAATTGCCCTATAAACTCAAAAAAACACTTCCATTGCAAAAAATTATGAATTTTTGTTTTCTTGTTGTTAAAAGTAGTCTAATTAGCCCTCCTAAGATAAAAAAGCTAATGCTAAATCTTAAACTAATGCAAAGCATCTTTAAAAGTTTTATGTAAAGGTACATAAAGCTGATAAATAACAGAATAGTTTTTATACCAATTTAAATAACTTTCTTTCTTTACGCTGCTTTTCTAGGACTGGAATATGGTTTCCTATTTCAAAATATTTCTTAATTCGATTATGTAATATTTAAACTGTATTAATAACAAAATTAATTAAATTCTCAAACAACAAGCTTTTGAATTGAGATATTATCATCACTCCTTTCAAAATAAATACTTATTAGATTTTATTTCCCAAAGTAACATTAAATGTTGCGTTGATTGATTTAATGTTTTTAAGATTCTAGTAAATGAAATTTAATAAGTTCTAATATTTGAGAATAATTATTCCTAATGCTTGTGAACAACACAAATTGTAATGTACAATTTCCATTGCGTTTATAAACGTTTATTAGAATAATGCCTTTAAAAGTTAGATGTTGGTTATTAATTTAAAAGAGAACATAATCTATTTCTTAATAGGATAAAAGTTATTTAGGAAATTAAAATATCTCAAAGATTAGCTGAAAAGAAACGAAATTATTTGAAAGAAATACTGCAGTGGTATACACAACTTTGGAAGCTAAGAAGTGTCTTCTTCTATTCCCAAGATAGAATTTTGAACCCTTGTTTACGATGTCAGGAGCATGCGCTTGTTCGAGTTGCAATGAATTATCCAATTTTAAATTCTGATGTACTTTTGGGTATTATTTCACACTTCTATGAGTCTTGTGATATTTGATTTGACTTTTGATTCTGTTCTGTACAGCCCACCTATTAGAAACTTTATAAATTTATACTTTATCTATGGCCTTAATATGCATTTAAAATCTCAGATTATCTAGAACAAAAATAAAGATGTTTCCAGTAGCTTAATTTCATCTTTGTTAACTTATTTGTGCCCAACGAAGGAGCAGTCCGTAAAATCTAACTAGACTGTATCATAGTGGATGGAAGTTTTGCCAAAGTAGATTATGTTTCTTTACAGCAGTTGTGAAGAGCACAGATTTGCTTAAAAATTAATAAAATAATTTTATATTTCATTTAAAATTAAAATATGCTTAAGATAAATTATGTTTCTATAAACTACAATTTATTTATTTATTTATATCCTACAGCTATGAATGTGTTTCATGGTACGCTTACCTAGCTAGAAGGCTTGCGCAAATCAATAATCATCTTTGAGCAATTACATACTTATTACATGATAGTCTTTACGTTTAAAATATTTTTCTGTATTTAAGATTAATGATTTTCTTTACATGTTACAAGAATGCAACAAATGTATCTTATACGATTTTCACTTCGTTCGTATTTATTGCATGTAAATTAAATTGCATTAAAATGCCCTTTCTTTCTGGTAGTGTATATTGAAGTAATTAACGTGCAAAAAAGCATATTTACTCTTTTATTTTCTTGTAAAAGATCTTTTTCTTCTTCACAATAAAAATGGAAACTAAGGTATATGGGAAGATTTATCTTTGTCTTGAGACTGATCAAAACACTTCGAGAAAAAACACAGAAGGAGCACAAGTGATCATTATCGTTATTATCGTTATCATTATCATTATCATTGTCATTATCGTTATCATTATCGTTACACAAGTGATTATGATTATTCCTACTTTAGTCATATGATAATCTATCATATGACTAAAGTAGGAATGTTATACTTGAAGTTATTTTAAAAGAGAAACGATCTAAAATTATAACCACATTTAATCATATCAGAGATTAAGAAAAATTATTTGTGTAAAGTAGAAAATCAATATACTCGAGGTATATGACTTTGGAATTGATCCAGCATTTGGTAGTCTAAAACAGCGATCTTTCTTTCGTGATGGAAAACCTTATTTTAAGGTAACACTATGATTCAATTGGGTTAAATTCCGAAAAACGCTCAGATATTTTAACCATAACCGTTTCAAAACTATACAAAATTTTGTTGCTTTTGCCTAAATGATTCAATGAATGACAGCATACTTTGTAGAGTGAAATAGGCCTTCAAAATATTTAAAAGTGTATTTCGCAAATAGAGACATTTTGTATGCAAATGAGTCTGTCGAAAGTCTCTGAAATTCTGGGCACACAAAATAGAGTTTAATGGTATTTTAAATGCTTCCAGTGCATGTTTAGCTAGAAATATTTAAACACGGTTTATGTGTGTGTATGTATGTAAAGCAATGTATTAAATACTTTCGTTAATTTGTAAGCTTAATTCCTCTGAATTCGAAAGCAGAGACTGTGGGAAAATAAATGGCAAAAAAGATATTTTATACAATATGAAACTCTTAACAGTGTTGTTATTAATAACAACATTAATATAACTTTAGGAAGATCTATGAACGCTACTTTTGTTTCCTTCTCTATTTCTCAAAATTTTCCAATAGTGATCTTTAATTAAAAGAGCAATTAATACATTAATAATATCATTTTCACTTCCATTTTATCCTTTTAAAATGCGTAGCATATATGTCTGTATTTTCCAAAGTTGTTGTTTTATCTGCCTGAGATAGTTTAGTGCGATGTAATCAAGTTTTGTAACTTTGTTCAAATTGTACGGAAACGTAACACTTTCAAGATATTTAATTTTATTCATTGGATATTAAGCCGGTTAACTTACAATCCTGATACTGTTTTCTCTGTTGATTATGGAATAGTACAGAAAAAATTTCCAGAAAAAAATCTTTGTAATTTCTCATAAAGTTATAAAATTACTTTTCGCTTTTGTTATGATAGCTCATTGGTCGGTCGATCAGTCACTAATATAACTCACTGCAGAAAAAAAAATAGATATTCCTATTCTTTAACTATATTCCAAGTAAAAATGAAATTAGCTTAGGCTAATTCATTATCTGTAACGACAAAGTCAAGGGCTGTATACCTTTGATCACTTCATAGTGGAATTTCTAAGGAAGATAATATAAACTGCTCATTGCAAAATTCATGGAATACCTCCGTCAGTCAAAATGCAGACCTCTGTCAATCAAAATCTAATTTTCTGATCCTTCTCGCTAATATTATAAAAATAATTTTGTTTGAATTTAGTTTTCCGTGAGAATTGATCACTGAATGAATATGCATTATTACAGTCATATCGTAAAATATTGTTAAGTTTCAGTTTATTTCCGTAGATGTCTTATCAGCAAATCAAAATATTTCCGCATTTAATATGACCCTTTTATTTTATCCTTCACTAATAAAATGCACACGTAATTTTAAGATTCAGATCAGATCAGTTCAGAATCTCGAATA